AGTGAAGAGTCGAGTTTCAGGCACCATACTGCTGGAATAGAGCTTGGAATTGAAGTGATAGCAAGTTGTAGAATTATGGCAAAAATGAATTAGGCTGTAAAAAGAAGATTTAATTTGTGATCTGAAGTGACAGTGAGACTGTTATGAAATCCGTTGCCAGGATATGACTAGTGAAGACTGAGAACACTAATGCATGTGTAACGGTGAACTGTAAATGTGGAAACTGCGGTAGCGCTGTATAACCTGTAGTCCCGAGTTCTGTGAATGTATAATGTGCAATAAATCCAATCACCTAATTGAAACCCCATCTTATAAGTGACGATAGATATTCATGTTCTTTTTTTAAATGTTCCCTATACTATCACAGAACAAGTTGACTTAAGCTGGGACATTTATGAGCTGCAGTCTTGAGGTGCCAGGTTCGAATCTCATCCGGGATATCTACTGTTTTTTCTCAAGTTGTCCTGGATTTACTCAGTCATACCTAGACACATGCCAAGGCAGGAAACAACATTTTCCTTCCACATCCTCTCCCATTCATTATCTACTAACTTCTAATCGCTGGAGGCTCTAACATCTGAACTGGTGAAAGTTTTACTACGCAAGCTATAAATCTTACTTAGCTGTTATTCCTCACGTAAATGAATATACATGCCCTGTGTGTGCTTTCTCTTCTGATCCATGCACTTTCTTCTAAGTATTTAGTTATGTTTTTGTAAGCAATATTATCAACATGACGAGAATAAATTTCCACACTTTTAGCGTCCAAACTCTCGCACAGTTATGAGTGTGACCTCTCGGGTCAGTGCACTAGTTACATCTGAATACCTGTTATACACGACCCTTCAAAAAACTGGAATGTTTGGTTGTTTTGCCTGTACCAGGTGCTTGTCATGTAACGCCATAAGCAATATAGTTGACTCTTAAGAAGCGTTACCATTATTTCACTTATTATATTGTTGGCAACGTTACATAAAAGTATTGAAATTATCATCAGAGATCTTCTTAGGTTGCCTTAATTAAATTATGTTCTGAATTATATATTTAAGAGTATATGTTTGTGTGTGTGTGCGTGTGTGTGCGCGCGTATATGTGAAACACTTATTTTCATAATATATGCATTGAAATACTGTCGTTAGAGGTAATGAAATTATTCGCCTTTAATTAAATTACAAAAATGATGTATAAGGTATTTCATATTTAAAAACATATACTTGTATGTGTATACATGTGTGTACATATTATAACATACGCACATGAAATAACACAAAGAAAACGTCAAGGCAATACTTATTACCAACGAAATTTCATTACAGCAAAATTTAATTGGTAATTTTATATCTATATTATGTTTACGAAAATTAATCTGCACTTACATTTATCATTTA